TAAAGGGTGGGGGCAACCCCCAATTCAGAAGTTGACACGTCACTCCCCCATTTCAGGAAAGAAAGTTTTTCCCGATTGTACACCTGCCCTCCCACTTTCAAGACGAATATAAGAGGGGGGGACCCTCACTAGCACACTTAGGAGGGGGTACCCAAAATGGAGCGGGTCAAACAAAGAAGTACAAAGATAAGCAGCAAGCAATTGCCCAACCTGCTCACATACCCACTGCTATGGTGGTTGCAATTCTCTGTTCCATTATCCTGAATAGCCCCAAAACACCCTAAACCCCTCAAACCCTAAACCCTACACAACCCTTTACAAAGGATGGCATTTCAGGACTTTCGCTGCGCGGACCTGGTACGAAGCACTGGTGTGAGGGAGGTGCAGTGAAAGAAAAAAAACTGAGGCATGGTAGAACATATTAGAGCACATGAGCTATAGTCTATAAACCCCGTAAAGGGGGACTATATAGGGGACTAATTATGTAGGTCAGTATTCTAGGGGTTATTCAGGGGGGTACTGGGAGTCTAGACTATAGCTCATGTATATATATATATATATAATATATATACATCTTTAACTATATATATGTATATGTGTGCTACCCCCCCGTGGACCTACCATTTTGGGATGTTTTAGGGGTTGGTGATAGATGAAAACATGAATAAGCCACTGTAACTTAATGAGCAATCAGTGTAGAGAGAGGGAGTGCGGGACATACCTACCAAGCAAACATTTCAGACAACAACCTTGCAATGCAGATTTTCTAGTGTGGTTGCAGTTCACTATGTGAAAACATGATTCCTTGTTTGCTACCTGCTACCTAGTCTCAGAGGATGACGTGTGAACAAATTTGTAAATAGACGTGAGTTTGCCCTTCTCCATAAAGATTTGTATCGAATGCTACATTTAAGAAAGCCGAGAAACGGTGACTCACAAATGAGCATTCCTGGCATCTTCCATCGTCAAACATATGCAAGATCAAGGTTGGGGTTGCGCTTCACCGGCCTCTCAATTGTTATTGCCAATAATCTTAAAATTCTTCATTCAATCCTATGTGCGCTTACTAAGGGACATACATGGTGAAAACAAGGAGCCTAGGGCTCCAGAATTTATCCTGAACTTTGACGCTCATTTAGTAAGGGCTTTGTCTAAAGACCAAGAAGTCGCAAACAGTTTAGTATCATTTTACATAGAAAAAAGAAGGAGCTAGAGACTTGTCCTTTGGTTCGAAGCCGTGTTTATACAGGATTTATATACATAAAGTCAAGAGCCCAGAACCTGAGAATCCCCTGTTCAATTCCAAACATGTTTAGTAAAGGATCTATATATGTAAAGGCCGGAGCCCGGCATTTGAGTTCTCAAATAGTCGAGGATCTACGATTCCCTCCGGTACCTGAGACTTGCCCTTGCAATTCGAAATCAATCTAATATAGGGCTTATGTAAAGACAATCAGGAGCACAGAAGCTGAAAATTCGTATTGAAAAAAGAAGGGGCCAGTATCAGAGTCTTGCCCTTTCAATTCGAAATCCATTTCTTACAGGGTTAATATACAGAAATCAGGAGCGCAGAATATATTCAAAGCATGTGCAGCAGATGCGTTACGTAAATGTAAAAACATTTACGAAATGCTTCATATATACAAATGCAGGAGCCCAAGATTTGAGAATCCCTCATGAAATCCTACGTACGCTTAGTAAGGGACATACATAGAGAAAGCAAGGAGCCCAGGGCCCCAGAATTTTCATGGAACTTTGACGCTCATTTAGTAAGGGCTTTGTCTAGAGAAAGTAAGAAGGCCAGGATCAAAGAATTGTCCCTGAGGTCTTTTTTTGGGAATATTCCCAATTCCAAAAATTCAACACATTCCGAAATTTCGAAAACATTGAAACATCCGACAAAAAACCAAAAAAATCAAAAAGTTCTAGGACTAAGTCATCCTAGACATGCTTACTTCACTTTTGTTTTTTTTGAAATTTGAGATTGTTTTGGTTGGACTTTTTTGTGTTTTCTTTGGAACTTTTGGAACTTTTAAAATTTTAGGAATTTGGCACTGCCCAATAAGCCAGGACCATGGTTGGTTCAGTCACGGAATGCCGAATTTGGACTTGCTGGAATTTTTTGGAATTTTCGGAATGTCTACATTTTCTAGTGTACATACACTCATATACAGTTGGTTGTGTTGACGAAGCTTGTGAATTTCTATCATGTTTAGGCTGCAAACTCTGGATGTGCTCGAAACCGCCAAAAAAGGTAGGTCCAGGGAGGGGTACCATATACATATATACATATATATATATGTATATACATTGTATTTAAATTGCTTATGGGCATGCTGCCTTTATTCTTTTCAGTCCTTCATATCTTGGGATTTGTCTTTGTACTTTCTTTGTGTAAACAACTATCAAGCCATACGGGTCCACGCACCAGTGCTAGGTACCACATCCTCGCTCCATTTTGGGGACCCCCCTCTCTCTTTTACACATACCGGTGGTACTGCAACGCCACCCCCCCTTTTTTAAGGTCCACCCACTATTTTATAAACAGTTTCTAGGTTCATAAGGCAACAAAGCCTACCCAGCCCTTTATATGATGTATCGGGGGGAATATGTCACTGTCAGAAGCTGAAGGGCGGACTACTCACATTTATCTTCCCTCATGGTTTGGTTGACTTACTTCCTCCGCTCGCTACGTGTATATGTCCAAGGTACAAGCAACATCACGCGTGGTGGCGGCGTCAAACCTCCCTACTTTTTGTACGTGCAGGTATATCATCATCATCATCATCATCATGCTTGTTGTTGCATGAAACCTGCCCAGTCCCTCTGTAGAGCTCGGTGCCCCTGCATGCCCATGGCACGAAAAGCATTATGCTCGGTGCTTACCTCAAACCTCCTAACTCCTGCAGTTTTCAGTAGCCTTTCACGGTCATGACTGCATGAAACATCCCTTCTCCACCTGTGGTATTTTACCACCCTTGCATGGTCATGGTACAAATAAGATAAGTGCGTGTTTGGCGGCTTCACTGAAGTGCTTGCTTGCTTGCGTTGGCCTCCGCGTGCCCCTTGGGTGAAGGCCTTAACATCAGGGTCCCATGGCCATGAAGTTAGAGCCGTCTGTGCTCCAGAACATGTGTTCGTAAGTACTGTTTTCTGGTCGTGCAGAGGAAGTCTTGCCTTGCGCACGGGCCAGGTATTACGACCAAGTCCTTCCACGACTGCCGGTGAGAGAGAGTCTTAGAATGAGAGCGCTTCGAAACCTGCGCAGGGCTCAGAAACTATTAAAAGCTGCGCGCAGGCCTGAAACGTGACGTGGCCTTGGAACTGGTGCTGTTGCCAGATCTGCGCCAGGCACAGGCAAAAAGCCAAGAGAGATTCATGGCTGAGTGATGTCTTCGCAGGCTCAGGCGAAGAAACGGTTTCACTTGGACCACCTGCGACATCGCGGGTCAATGGTTGAAGTTCTGTGCGGTGTGAGCCCCCGCCATGTTTAATTTACTAGCCAGACAGCTTTTCAATCCTCAAAACGGGACTGACAAAGCAGAATCTGTGCTGACAGGACGTGGTGCAATGCCCAAATTCTGGATATCAGTTTGGAGCCCACATTTAGCCAAGAACTACCCTCGCGAAGACAGAGAGCGTGGCAAGCCCTAAGGCACAGTGGGACGGTCTTCCATTGCCAACGTGCAAATGGATGATGGCACCGTGGAGGAGGTGCCCTGCGGCCTGGTTCGGCCAAAGCCCTTGCCCAAGCACGCACGGGATACCCACGAGGCACAGCAAAGCTTGGGGTGGGTCAGGTGCGGTCTGACTGGTGAGGCTTTCCAGGACTCGATCTAGGACTCCCAGGCTTCAACGCGCAGACAAACTGTGCCTCCTTCTCAGCATCGCAATGTTTATTCGGCGTCCGTGGCATCATGTCTACTGATCCAGCTGCCAGAAACTTGTCCGTGTCTTCATGCACTGACTGGGCAAAGGATGTTCCCGCGAAACAGAGATGCAAGCTTTCGGGTGTCTTTGCGACTTTTCAGGGTCATCGGAGTTAACGTCCGATGCAAATCATCGCAAGCGCTTGAGCAAGGTGTTGTGGCGAGGGTCCTGAATCTGTGCACAGAATTGGACCATGCTCTTTTCAGCATTTGTAAGAAGCAGAGAACTGAACGATTTGAAGTCCTAGAAAAAGAAGAGTTCACTACACGCGCAACTTTGGACTGCAGGTGAAGAATACTTGAGGCGGGATCGCGCGAAGGCGGTCACAGATGATAAGCCTCTTACTCAGTCATGAAGTCAGGCTTTTTGGCCGGGTTCGGAAAAGCACCGCATGCGGACTGATTGCATGCTTGAGAGCACACGAGGAATGACTACTTCAAGCCAATTCCCAAGTTGAAGAAGATGATGATGACAAAGGATAAGTGCCAGAACCTTTGCTTGCTTTGCTGTCTCAGCATCTCCCTAAATGCACGGCAAAACAAGGCCTGCGGCACTCAGCCCCTGACGATACTCGAGCACCAGCTTTTGTGAGAATGGGCAGCAAGGAGGAGAGATGACGCGTTCAGCTACTGGCGACGCAGCCATGTGGAGTCGTTCGGCTTTTTTTCGAGGACATGGGGCAGCTGGTGGCTGGGGATCATGCACTACCTGAGGCACTGGCCAAAGCATGTTCCCGCGAGTTGAGTAACGAGATGATTGGCAAGGAACGCCAGACTCAGCTGATGCAGGCTGACCCGGGCTTTTGCACCAAGTGGACGGTATTGTCTTGGGAAATGAGGTGGCTCGAAAATATGCATCGGGATCCACTTCGCGGTTTCTTCTTCCACGACAGGACATGGTGCATTAACATCATTGCCCCTTCTGCTGCTCAGTGAAGCTCAGTGATTGTCTTGAGCTGTGGGTAAAGCTGCGTCTTCTCATCCCAGCTTCTGCAGCTTCGGCTCAAGCATGAACAGGCCCATGGTGGTGTGGAGGATAGTTGCTGAAACTTGGTCTGCAGATTGGTGCGAATGCACCTGTGCGGCAGATGTGCATCATCTTTCACACCTTTCGCACTGGAATGCCCACCGGCACCGACATACGAGCTTCAAGCAATTGTGAAGGCTCAGGAGAAGGCAAACGAAGCTATCGTGTTGGCGCAGAACATGGGAGCAGAAAAGGCTGCCCATTTGGCCAAGCGTGCTGTAGATCATATTTCAATGGTGCAAGGCTGGTTCACGTTCTACGCTTATCGAATGTATTCAGATTTGCAGGACGACATCCATGAAGCCCGCTTTGATTTGGAGCAAGCTGCGCAAAGTGCATACAGTGAAGCATCTGGATCTGACGCTGGGAATCTTCTGGCATGCGCAGCCGACGACCTGCTTCCATATGATCCTATGCCAAACATTCATCCCATGGATCATCGTCTCAGCAGCATGCCAGCGAGCTGGATAGATCTGACAAGCATGTTGGGTTTCAGGCGTAGCAGGCGCAGCAGACGCTTGGACAATGCACAGTACTTCCTCTGAGCCACAAGAGCAGCCAGCCCCAAAACGGCAAAGGGCTTGCCCTTTTCAGAGCCTTGGAAAAGAAAGGCAAAGGACTAAAGGACTAGTGACTCAAGTCCCTCTTAAGGAGAAGTCTTAAGTTTGAAGTCAGATTTCCTCAGTAGGGAGCGGCCTTTGCACAGGACCGGTTGGAGTATCACGACTGGGGGTCCGGTTCTGCGAATGCGAAGGTGAACGCCCAAGAAGTGTTGGCGCGACCCTTAGACCCTTGGATGTCCCTAAGCATTGAAGCTTTGCTTGCTGTGCGTTCAGGTGCCGGAAACTTTGAGATTGGGTTAGGCACGCTTATTAGCATTTATGACCTGCAGAAAATCTTGTGGGGGAGAGCAAGATGCCATCCTGCATTCAAGTGAGGGAGATTGGCAGAGCCACTCCCATTTTCCCTTCATGCATGCTGCATGAACTCCAGTACCTGGAGTACCGAAGGCAGTTAACGATACGTTTCTTGCTGGTTCAGTTGTGACGCGGAGTGCGAGGCTTGCAGGAAGGCAAGTCCGACTCGAGGGCTCATCTTTGCCTCTATGCATTTGGGAAACGGTAGTGTGCACAGAAATCGCGACCGCTTGTTGAGGACATCTGAGAAGCGCGCAAATTATCAAAGAGCAGTCTGAGTCTACACATCACATGGACACCGTGTCCGATAACATCACTTGGGCCACCGCAGCCTATGTAGCTCACAGTAATTTGATCTGATTTGTGTAGTCGCGAATCAAGTCTATTTGCCGTTCGCTCTGTGCTGCCCAGTATCTCCTAAGCTCGACAGCATCATTACCCTGAAGATGTGTCATGTATGCTTGTTTAGCGGACGGCATATGAGATCAAAGTCATTTCTGTCGCAGATGCCGCGCCCTTGGCCAAATGGGTCAATCTACTGGCTTGGCTGTGACAGACAAAGAAAGTGAGAATGGACACTGCGGCACGAAGAATTTATGGTGGGGTGTTAGCTGCATGCAGGGTTGGCGTCCGCGAATGGAAGACTCGCATTTTGCTTTGGCACATTTGGGTGGGGACTGGGCTGATACAGCTGCATTCGCTGTATTTGATGGTCACGGAGGGCGCGAAGTTGCATGCTTTTGTCAGCAACGACTTCCCGTAGTAATCGGAAAGCAGCCACGAGCACGTCCGACTGCTGCCTTGAGAAAGGCTTTTGAAAGCATGGATGAACTTCTGCGCGTACCAGAAGAACAAAGTTTTCTTCGATCCTTTACTGGAACCACCCGAGGAGGAAATACTCTACGAGAAGCTGGCCGCGTGGGTTGCACAGCTGTTGTGTGTTTGGTCCAGTCCAAACAACTGGTTGTGGCGAATGCAGGTGACAGCAGGGTGGTTTTGTCACGAGGTGGTGTCGCGATTCCCCTGTCAGAGGACCACAAGCCCAATCTTCCGGCAGAACGTGTTCGGATTCAGAGGGCCGGTGGAAATGTCGATCGGCAGCAGATTGGCAACTTCATCCAATATAGAGTAAACGGGAACCTGAACCTATCTCGAACCATCGGCGACTTGGACTACAAGCGCAACTTGTCACTTCCCATGAGCGAGCAACTCATCAGTTCTACGCCTGATGTCATGCTTTTTGACCGGACCGAGGACGACGAATTTCTGCTTTTGGCATGTGACGGGATATGGGAAGCAATAAGTAGCCAAGATGCCGTTGACTTCATTAAAGAGCGCTTGCGTGGTGTTTCAGGTGCTAAAGCTCCCCTGTCCACTATTATGGAGGAGCTGCTGGACCATTGCTTTGCGCCAGATTTGATAAGTTCAGGCGGGATAGGAGGTGACAACATGACTGCACTGCTTGTTCTCCTCCAGCCGGGAACGTGCAGACCTTATCCAGAGGTTCAGAGCTCACAGGCTTCGCAGTTTTCATCATCTGGGACAGCATCGTGGTGCTCCTGCCGCTAAATGTTGCCGAAGTGCACCTTGCAACCTTGCCATGGGCTTCGCTTCCAAAGTAGAACGGCTTTGACAAGGGTGTGGCCATGCCTCAAGGCAGGCAGAGAGGTGCAGACAAATATCTGCGAGCAGCAAAGGACGCACACACACACACACCAGATTGAAGGTTTCTGCTGTTTCTTTTTGATTTGAGCCGCCTCTTCGCAGCCTTGGCAAAGAATTTCTAGGCACCACGACTTCATTGCTTATGAGCGCAAAGCATTGCATAGCCAACTTCACGTACAGTTCACTCCACAACATCAGTGATCATAAAGCAGATGTGCAATTGCGGAGAAGTGTGTAGCCTTTTCAGCAGTTGAGCTCAATGGCATCGTAGCCGGAATGCGCCTGTCCAACATTGTCACGTCCTACTTTGTGCGGAGCTGTGTTGTGCTTCCGCCTGCTGCGCAGGATGACGGCCATGTTTTGAAGCCTGATCAGAAGTCATATGCTGCCAGGTCAAGAAGTCTGACAAGCCCCAGAAGGCATACAGGGATGCGCTTCTTGCATAGCAATGAAGTCTAGTCACCATGCCGAATCAATCGCAACGTGTTGCGACACATGTACAGATTGCCTTCTTGCTTGGTGCTCAACACGGGGCTTTCCACAACGTCACTAGACCTCCATGGTTTTACCCGCTGTTTTGTTGCGAGCTGGAGAGCGCAGGACCTTGCTCCAGGTGCGATAGAGCAACCTCGACCTGATCCCGGGAATGATGTGACGGCCTCATCTTCAGCGCCAACAGGAGACGCCACAGGTGGAACTGCTGCCAAGACCTTGTTACAGCAAGAAGAGCAGGAATACAGTGAAGAGGAGGAAGGCGAGGAGGCGGCAGAAGAGGAGGAGGAGGAAGAGGAGGAGGAAGAGGAGGAGGAGGAGGAAGAGGAAGAGGAGGAGGAATATGTGGAGGAACAGGAAGAGGAAGAAGAGGTAGGGGTTGAAGATGAAGAGGAAGAGGAAGAGCAAGAGGAGTGTGAATCAGTGCCGACACAGCTGTGTTCCAATGGTAGGTTTGACAGCGACCATGCCTTCCTTCAAGATGCACTTGAGGACTTGCAGGCGCGTATATCTTCAAGCCAAAGTGAGATTCAGTCAGTTAAGCATCGGCTTGACAACATGAAAAATCATTCCATGCCAGAGGAGGATCAGCAGAGTAAGCACCAGCTGCACATGATGGTAGACAGTTTGCGACATGCCAAGCGCCACAGTGCAGCCCTTGAAGCTCCCCAACTCAGATTGCGCTCCTTGCGACAGCGTCACAGGGCCCTCAGGGAGGATGTTCTTGTCCTCCGAGACGTGGGCGGCGGTGGTGGAGTTGGTCCACAACATGACCAAATTGCGTACATGACTTGGCAATGTCAAAGCCTGCGCCAGTCACTGGCCAAAGTTCAGGCAGAGACAGCCGAAGAAAATCTGCGAATTTCACAGCTTGAGGCTGAGATGAGTGCTGAGCACTTGGCAGGAAGCGAATATGCACAAGCTCTGAAGCATCAGCTGGTGGAAGCGGCAAGACTGGAAGTGATGGAAAAAGATGCAGCGAACGAAGCTGCCGAGTTGGCTGACCGTTACTGGGACTATGCGCCGTTCAGCGCAAGCAACCCTGGCTTCACTGCAGCCGCTATCGACCAAGAGATCGCACAGACATGGCCTCAGCTTCCCCACAGTCCATGTCACGATGCCCTATGTCCCAAGTCGAGTCCAGCCAGTTCCATGATAGGTTGCGAAAGCAGGTTGTATTCGAAGAGACGGAGACCGCACGCCTACAAGGCCACAAGAAGTACGTATCTCGCTTCCGATTCCAGGGGATGTTTCAGGCTTTTTGGTGCGGGTTGACCGACAGAGAAACAGAGATAAGAAGAAGAAGAAGCAGAAGAGAGATAGAGAGACATTGCTTGGGCTCGGTGGACCTCACCGGTGGCCTCCCTTAAAGGGCCATACAGCCCTGAAAGAAAGAAAGAAAGAAAGAAGGAGACGGTACATCGCCAGAGACCGCATCCTGTGTGGGGCACTGCCCCAGCCCCTCCTCTGGGGGGGTAGCACAGTGAGAAGAAGAAGAAGAGCCACAGAGAGAGACTTTGTACGTGACTTTGTAAGCGGTGCAGACATCCTGCGTTCGCGGCTTTTTGCACACGTGTGCGTGGGATCCGATTTTTTGTCACCTTCGAATGCTGGCAAAAGTAATTGTGGTCGGCGCTTCTGATCTTTCCTGGCTTGTGGCAGGAAGGCTGATACAGGCTCGCGCAGCTTGCAGATCAGCAAGCGAAGCCGCTGAAGCTGTCCGGATCCTATCCCGCTTAGCAGTTCAGCATTGTGCAGATTTTTTTTTATGCTGGCTTGTGCAAATGCATTCTGCAAGTCAATTGTCGCATAAGTTGATTCACAGTTGCGTCAGCAATTGGTATTGCGAGGTGCCTCACCATGTCTTAACATATCTTAAGTATTGTGCCGGTATTCCAAGGGTGGGCTGAGCTTCCCTCAAAGCTTTCCCGCGCGCATCTAGGACACGAAAAGGCGCTCAAGATTAAGGGAGGGGAGGAGGGGTGTGGCACGGCATGCGCTCTGAAGCTATCCAAACTATTCAAACTGACCCAAATACGCGGTAGCAGCACTCCTGCACGATAGCATATACATGAGCTGATCTGGTCTATTCTGGTCTGCCCCATTGTCCAACCTGTCAGTCACATGCCAGCCGTAATTGCTGGGGTCTGAAAGCTTTCCTCCTTTGGTGGAACGTGATCAGCTTCTTGATCTGAAGAAATGCTCACGACTACCATCTGCTTCCAGCGTCTCAACAAGTGTCTGCAATTCGCTCGCAAGTGTAGCATGCCACATTCAGCTTTCGCGTTGGAGAAGGTCAAGTCTATGCACCACGTGTTACTTCTAGAGTTTTCCATGCGGGTTGAGAGTCGTCCCAGGCCGTCACCCTCGCTGATGTCCTGTGTGAGCCGTTCAAGGCAAGCGGGAGCACAGATCGTTTAACGCCACATGTACGTGCATCGCAGATGCAGAAAGCAATGAGGCAGGCATGTCGACAGTGCTCGGGGGTTTGCGGAACCCCACTCCTAGCATTAATTAGCCAATACAGAACGTGAACGTCTAGAGTTTGGTAAGGCTTCCAGTGCCACGGGCTTTCGTAATGTCTTTTGCGTGTCCGCTTCGCACCCGGGCTCGCAAGGAGGCTCGCAGCCAGGACGCTTCTGATGCTACTTAGATTTAGGTACTTGCCATGGCGCTGGGGCAGAGGTGCTGGGGCAGAAGATATTCAGAGTAGGTATGGTGAATACAGTTGAGGGAGGGGCTAAAGAGAGAGAGAGGCAGGTGACGAGGGGAGGTAGGCAGGGTGCGACGACGAGACACCCCGCAACCAATGCATGATTTCAGGAAAGTCAAAACAACTTTGGAGTGCAAGTTTTTCAGCCTGGATATTGTAAAGCTTTCGCATTGGAGTGGGGGTTCTCCGACAAACCAGGGCAGTCTCAGGACATTCGAGATGGAGTAGGGATTACTGTTTCACCCGGACGTCAAAAGCCAGGTGTTGCTAGAAAACCTTGATGCATGTAGCCTGAGCAAAAAATCCATACATGCGGCACTTTTCTGTGCTCGACAAGAAACTGCACAGCACACGACACCCAGAAGCCTGAGGAGGCCGTAAGCGAGCAACTTGGGGCATAATCCCATGATTTTTCGGCATATCAAAATGACCCTCGGATGCGCCACAATTGCAACCCCCCATTGCCTGCCTCCGCCTCCGCTTGGTTTTGTCAAGCGCTCCCGCCTCTACGAGGCTTCTGGGCTCGAGCCATGTGCCGTCGGCTCGTTTTCACTCCCTTTTGCGGCCGGGGCTCGCACGCAGTCCCTTGGCCATTCAACAGGCCATCCCGCCTCTGCACGGACAAGGGGTCCGACCCAAATCGAAGTCATAGGTGATTCCAGTCCAAACGGATGCAAGACATTGGGCATCAAGCACAGGCATTTTGGATGCATGCTCCGCATGTCGGCGCCAGGCTGTACGACGGAATTCTTTAATGTGGGCGGACAGAACATGTCAGCCACCGATGTAGTGCGAAAGACTTCTTGCAGAATACAACCCTATAACCTTATTTGAAAGCCCACACTTGAATACTCCAGTTGCTCCAAGTACCTCCAAACATAGTTCAGGTACTTGTACATATGGGAACTTGGATCAGGATCCAGCTCGGAGGATTTAGGATTTATGGCTTAGGTTTTAAGGTTTTGGGTGTAGGGCGCAAGAAATGGTCCGATTATGTCTTCTGTGTACACAACACCAAGCAGCAAAGGTCCAGCAATTGGAAGGCAATTTGTTAGCCTTCAGCTTTTCTGATAGTCGATATTCGGTGTGTGAGCAGTTGCGCTTTTCAATTGAGCACGTGGCGGCTCTGTTTGCAGCAAGGCTCTGATTGTGGTCTTGAGTGTCGGGGAGAATGGGTTGGCGAGCTGGTGGTTGCGCCTTGTCGACCGTTATTGTTGAAATTTTGGGCATGACGCCCGTAACGTGCAGGAACCATCCTAGGTAGGGCGGGGGCGAGGGGGTTGGTGGTGGGGCGAGGGTGTATTTTTCAGGTCCTTGAGGAAAAAGAACTACATGTTGGTCTGTTTGTTCTCGACGCGTGTCGGGATGCTGAGCCGAGTTACCCCTGGTTGTCCCGCTCGACTTGAGAGTCCCGGCCATCCTCCCAATCATTCAATAAGCTGGCTCTATGGTACCTGCATGCAGCGAGCGTTCCAGGGATCGGTTGGATGATTTTGCAGACATGTGCCGTCTTTTTGTGTGAAGCCGTGGTAGTTCATACAATTTGTGTGGGGTCTTTGTCAGGCAGACCGAATCCAGGGATGAGGTTGCACCAGATTTCTGGTGCCAGAAGGCCCTACCGTTCGACAAGGTTTTCGAAGCCCTCGCCAGCCAGTAGTACAAAAATCCCAATTTGTGGGACGCTGCACTTGGAACTTCT